TGCTAAGCATCAGCTAGAGCGGTATAAAGTTGTGTTTGTGATCTAGAGCTAATCATTCAGCATTAGTACCTCACTAATGCTCTTGTGGCTTAATACACTCCAGAAATGTTCCAGCATCTCTTGTAAAGCCTTTTCAGGAGAGAAGATGCTGTTACTGCAGCAAAGGGGGAACAACCTCCCTATTAAAACCCTTGATTTCAGAAGAAATGCTAGTTGAGCAGGTGTCTGAAAACTTTTGGACATATCCAAATGGATTATATCTATACAAGTTTGCAATCTCTAAATTATTGGGAGACATTAAAGGACCTACAGCCTTTCATTTCCCAAGCTGAATATCACATTAAATCCATAAAAGCTGTTTCCCAATCTGCATACTTGCATTCCCTAGGTGTATGTGTGGCTCATTTTTTGGTATTTTTAGCATGCACTGTGATACTAATTATATTCGACAAACAAAATGAGGTTTTCTCATGTAGCTAGATCAGAATAAGTTATGTTGTTGCAGTGATTAAGATAAAGTAAGACGTGAGCACTGTAAAGATTTTGTTTATGCCTAAAAATGGGTTTTATCACACAAAGTACATCAAAAGCAAATTCATATATCCCATATAAAACTGTTAAATAGCTCTACTGAGTCCAGTATAGGGACTCAGTGCTGGTAGATATGTGAAGTGAAAGGAGGCAAGCATGCATATTTAAAAACAGCTGATGTCTTACAGATCTCTCACAAGTCATACTCATCTTTTCAAGTTATCTCTGTCAATTCTATTCATATTTTAACATCACTTTCTATTCTCTTCTATTCTATTCTGTTCTATTCTATTCTATTCTATTCTATTCTATACTTTCCATCCTCAAGACAATACCACCACACCCTCCTTTTATAACAAAGTGGAACTTATCTCTAGATGTCCTACTGTTTGATCACATTCTGTTGAGTGGCATGATTTCTAATCAAATAATCTTCCTGTGTACATCTACTAGCATGACCCACCTCCTAAAGTTTCCACGTCATACACACACACAGCTCTCTGCCCCACCCACTCACCTGCTCCTTCTGCATGCACTGCACGCTCCGACCAATCAACTGTTTGAAGTGGACATGCAAGCAAACAAATCAGCCAATCACCAACCAAATCACCAAACAATAAACAACTCGGCCAAATGTAAATCACCAATCTAATCACTCTTCAAATTAGCAAATCACAACATAGGTTTGTCAATTCCTGGTCAAAGCAATCACTGATCATTCCTATAATCCACTGATTCAGATAGCCAACTACTGCTGAGTTCTGGTGTCAGAATTATTGGAAGAATCAGAATTTTCACTTGAATTAGAAATTGGAACAACTGAGGATTTTACTCAGGTTTCCATGTTGTAATGTGTAATAGTGAACATCATTCAAACAGTAAAAGACTGATTAGCTCTCCTATCTTAAACTCTTAGGTAATCCTAACCCCTCATGGAAAAAACCCACTTCAAAATGCTCAAATATGCCGAGTCACTCCACAGAATCCTGTTACTGTTTTTTTTTCTCTGTAAGAGATTACAACATCATCCATTACACAACACATGTGCTGTTCTCTTTGAACTATAAGTAGAATGTATGGCATTCTGAGATTTCAAGAGTTCCCAAAGCACATTGTCTTCAGATTCGCATTTTAAGTATATTCGCATTTATACAATATAGCAGAACAGAAATGGTTTAAGATAACAGTACAAACCCTCTTTGCCTGCAGATTCCTCTCACTCTCACTTTTATATATTGATTTCCAAGTTTTATGGTTATGATCATACTAAAGTTTGCTGCTTTGACTTGAAAATGTTCTGTTGGATTTGGGGATGTATGTAAAATATTTGCATTTTAAGGTTAATAGCATGGATAAATGCTTTCATTTCAAGGTTTTGTTTATCACATTCAGCATAGTTATGTTAAAAGACTGGCAAAGGCCAAAAAAAATAACATGAATTAATCTGAATTTATCTCTTTACTGTAATTGTGGACATTTTAAAAACACAACAGTTCTGCAGCTGGATTTAGGCCTACCTTTAAATTTTTAATAATCTTCAGACTTCTGATCTGAACATGCTCGTTTTAACTCCCAGACTATGCTGTATATATGTTAAGAAAAATACAATTCAAGTGTTTATTATGTTGTTAATTATGCAACACATTAATGCATGATTTATGTACTTTTTTACAGATGGTCATATTGCTGGCTCTGTAAATTAATTTAAAATGGCCTGACTAACCTAGTGCTAAGTGAGGGTGTGATTGTGTCTTTGTTGGTATGCACTTTGTGTGTTTTGTGTGTGTATGTGCTTGTCTCTGCATGCATAATGGTGTATATGTGTGTGTGTGGGTGTGTGTGTGCATGTGTGTATGTGTCTGAGAGTGGGCATACGTGCGTGTGAGTATGTTAGTGTGAATACAAATATTTATATTTATATATTTATGTCTACATGTACGTCTAGACACTCTGGTCTCTTGCATGGGTTTGTTCGTGTGTGTGTGTGTGTTGCTGGAGAACGCTGTGTTTGTGTGCATTGCAGCAATGGTACACAGCCACCATGAATCTCCTGGGGACTTGGCTCACTGACCGAATGGACCAACAGCTCCATGTCTACCAGCTCAAAATCCTCATCAGGATTGTAAAGGTACTGCGTACAGGGAAAATTCACCTTTTTTTTAAAAAAATTGTAGAAATACTGTAAGTGCTGGGAGCTAAGCATCCTAATCTGCTTCAGGTCTTAGGTTTTTTCCCTATTGTGAGGTTGTGTTATGTTGTAATGGTGGGCAGTGTATTGTCTGTACAGGCATAGAGGCTGTAATGTCATTGAACAGTATTGATTTTAGCACTGTTTATAGACAACAAAGCTTAGTTAACAGCAATGTAGTCTTTTGCTGCCATTTCAGATTGTTTTCAGTTTAAAGTGCTGTGTATGGTCCCTGTTGATATAATTAGGGCTGGGCAATATATCAAAAATACAATCTGAGAATACTTAAAAAATACTATCAGAAACATTGAATATAGGTTCACTGCATTAAATTAAATAAGACTAGTTTTTAATTAAACATGCAGTTATTAATGAAATATGCAGTCGGTCAGTGTTCTTTAAGTACTGGTATCCACAATATGCTCAGAAAAGCATATTGTGGTGTGGATGTCATTTATAGATTTTTGTTTAATTAAATTATTTAATTTATATGATACAATATTGGCACACTGCCCACCCCTAGTATAATTTTAAGATGACACAACAGAACAAACTGAACAGGTCACTCCAAACAAGTCAGTTTAGTGTATGCAAGACATTATTTTAGCATTGAGTAGCAGTGCATGAAAAGCATTGGTTAACCTTTATTAATTCTAACTGAATGTTCTCTGATGCTGTGATACATTTGGAAAATACTATAATATTTTCACTAGGACGTTGGTTTGTGCAGATAGGATACTATGTGGCTGCGCACGTTCAATAGAATTTGACTTTTCTTGCACTTTGTAGAAAAAATATCGAGACTTTAGGCTGCAAGGCGTGCTTGACTCAACACTGAACAGCAAGATGTACGATACGGTACGGAACCGGCTCACCCTGGAAGAGGCAACCGCCTCGGTCCGAGAAGGAGGCATGCAGGGCATTTCCATGAAGGACAGCGACGAAGAGGATAAGGAGGATGATTAAAGCACCAACCCACCAGGTGCCCTGCCCCCACCAACCTGGAACCTACCCCATCCACACCGCCCTACCCTACCCCAACTTAGCCTGGTAACAGAAGATGCATGTACCAACTCTGATTACTCCAGTTAGCCATTCTAGGACCTCCCCATCAGCTCGAAATGCCCACAAACAGAGCTAAAGTCAAGAAAAATCTAGTAATTATACTAAAAAAGAAACTTTAAAAAAGTTACAAGAACATGATTGACAATTTTAGCTGTGTGATGATATAATAAAGAGTTAAGAAAAAAACTACCAGATTTTTTGGACTGATTTATTTGGGAATTTCTTTCTATGTGTTCCTAAGCAATATGGAGTACCATTTGTTTGACAATGTCGAGTGAGATTATTAGGTGTGTCCCTGTCCAATGCGATAACATATATGGCGCTTCTTTGACGTACTCTTACATACATTAATGGTACATTGTCGTGAAGATGAGTGTATGGATCCTTTCCTTTGTCTTGTCTGTTTTTAAAGTGGATGCCAACTGCTTCAAAACTGAAAATGAACTTCTGTATTTAAGTTAAAAGCTGTTAACTGTAAATGTCCTCTGTGTCTGCACACTTTCATAAAGATGTACCAACTTTATTTTATTTTATTTATTTGTGCTGAGGCTCTGTGACTCTTCTGAGGATCTTATGTTGCAAGTCACCTACAAGGCATTGTCTCGCATTCATCTTAAAACTAAAAAGAATTGGTATTCTAGAACGGCAATATCCTCTTAGCTCCATTTTGATATCTTATTGGAGACGTCTTTTATTTAAATGTCAGAAATGACCACAAAATAATATATTTTTCTTTAGTTTAACTTTTACAAAGAAAAAAGATTTCTTGCTTTTCTTGTTTTCTTATTAGAGATATTCGTTTTTTTATTATTATTTACGTAGCCAGAGATACGTGCCATTTTTGGGGGGGTCTCACTATTGTTTTGTATATACGAAGCTGTATATTGCATTCTGAGCCATCGCTGCATGCCTGTGGGTTCCACCTTCTCCAACAGCTTTTTGTTTTTTTTTTCTGTGTCAGTTAGCTGGTGGATTCATTCTTGCGTTTGCCTTATCAAAGCCAACAGTTGTTATATGCAAGAGCTGTGGCCTCTCAATAAAGATAACTGTATAAATACATCATTTGCCTCTGTTTGATTTAGAAGTTCAAGTTGGCCATTTCATTGTCAACAAATTATCGTGATCATTTATTGTAACTTTTTAAACACACTCAAAATAATCACTGCAACTATATTTAATGCCCTAAATAGGTTTATTACCTCTCATGATTCTTTGGAGCAAGTTAAAAAGTAAGAAGAGACAGGAATGTGTTTGCAATTTAGATGCTGCTCTAATGTGTGGACTTTTATTTTGAAATAAAGTGAACAGTCGTTTTGGTCGCTCCTTTCACGGCTGTGTAAAGCGTCCTCAGGAGTCCTAGCTGAAATTGTAGCTTAGTCTGTTTTATGGGCTGTTTAATTAAAAGGCTGAAATGACCGCTCCGGTACCTCCCGGATCGATCGTTGTAGCAGACTGGCACCGAAGCCCGGACAGCAGAGAGTTTTTCAGGAAGATACTGCACAAGAAGAAACGTCGGGAATTTGGTACGGTTCGTCACTATGGAGACCGCTCAGCAACCGCTGTCTATCAAACGCGAGAGCTGATCTGAGATCAGGGGCCGGATTCACCAAAGAGGCGCATTAAATGTTCTCCCCTTAGTTTCAAACTGAGGAAAACAGTTAAGATGATGGTTATTCGCCCAGCTTCTTTTTAAAATGTCTTTTATTAACTTTTCTTATAGAACAAATCTAAGAACAAATGCTGTTCTTGAAACAAATGTTCTGTATTGTTTAAAACCATGTTTAAATCTTGAATTGGCCTAACAAGACTAAGACATGTAGAGTGAGATAGCTACACCTCTGAAACTGTAAACTCTAATGAGTGTCAATAATATCAGACCTTCGCTGTAACGTTAGTGAGTTTAAATAATGAAGCTACTAAGTAAGGGCTAATCTAACATGCTCATTTAACAAGCGAGCACAAAATGGAGACTTGGCTGTGTTTCTACAATCCGTGCATTAACGTGTTTAAGGACTCAATACATTGAAGAAAATAAATAACGTTACAGGTTTCTTACTAATCAAACTACCTGCCTTAGCAGCTTGAGAGTGAACACCCCTTGCTGAAACATTTGATTAGGATTAAACCTAATGGTTTTGCTATTTAATGGGAATTGGCCTATTGGCTTCCAATAGAGACTTCTAGTTTCTTGTTGAATCCCATTAGGAAACCACCAAATAGTCACATGTTAAACCATTAGGATTTTTTACTTGATATCAACTCATTAAAAAGGCCAAAACACATTACAAATCCATTAGGAACCAACAGAAACACTTAATGGTTTCTATGAGCTTTTTCTGCAGGACCGCCGAATAAAGGAGGAGATGATCACTGGTTAAAACATGAATGAAACATCTGGTCTGATTGCAGGGAAAGTCACGCCTTTCGATAAATTAACCAATCAGTTTGCTTGTTTTCCGTAAGCGGAAATATGTGAAAATGTGTATTTGAAACGTTAATGTGGCTTTTGGCTTCCGTTTTATAGGTCTCTCCCCATTTAAAGAGATAGGAGTTTGGTCTTATATTACTGGACATAAGTGCTCGGCTGGCTTGCCAAGATGGCTGTCGAGTGGACAGACTTTTCTATGAGGAGCTGTGCGGTGTCTCCAAACAAGAAACAGATTTTCTCTTCCAAAGCCACTATTTCACTGTGCTTCAGTTGACGTCACTTCATTACCAAAGTTTTTGAACGTTTTTTTGTCCTGGGGTGCTGAAAAATTAAATTAAAATGGCCAAAACGTTAAAACCTGTTCAGAATTCAGAATGTGTCTTAATATGGTTTGTGTCAAATTTTATATGATTTTTATGATAGCATGAATATGATTTTGGCTGAAAAATCTCTTATAAAGACATCATTGATGATTTTGCTTTCGAAAAACCAAAGACGGTAAAAATAATGACCATTACACACACATTATATACTTATTGCATTTATTTCATTGTGTGCATTATTTGTTTATGTATGTAAACTATTGAGCTTTTTCTATATTCTGTTTCTCATGCATATAGTTAATTATTTTTCATTTTACTTTTTCATTTTTTATTTTATTTGTGTTGAAAAATGAAAAGCATAATGGATCATAGATCAGTCCTCTTTTAAAAGCATAATTAAAGAAGAGCTTATCTGTCCTGTAACCTAGGGTCAGTTCACCTCTAGAGCACTTGGTAGCATATCACTGCTGTCGTTTTTCAGTTTTTGACATAATTGGAAAAAGCCTGTTGCTCTTTACATTTAGTGTAAATTTCATGATGAATGAACCAACAGAAATGGCCCAAAATTAATTAGAAAAAAGTCTGGTTCCATTGACTTACATTAAAAGTAAATTATGTTTTTCCTTCTCCTGTCACGTTATCAATTTGGAGATAGGATTTGTTCCGACAGCAGCGATATGCTGATTTAGTTTGCTTTCTTGACAGTCTGAAAAGTACTTTCATATTCCGTATTAGGTCTCTTGGAGACACCAGTGATGCCCCCTCATTTGAAAGCAGACACTGTTCGTTACAAAGTGTTCATCTCAGGTAAAAGTGGTGTGGGGAAGACTGCTCTGTCTGCCCGGCTTGCTGGCCATCATATTCCAAACTTGCACTATGAAACAACAGGTAAATGTCTTGAGTACCAGACTGTACTCCGCACCATATGTTGAAGTAATATGTTTAGGCACTGTATTCTTACATCAACAGAAAACCTGATAGGCTACACATTATCAAGCCTGCCATTTTGCACTTGCCTTAAATTATTCATTTTACAGTGGTAATTTTGAAAATTGCTGCAGAATGGGACCCTTAAAAAGCTTAATATCTCTTAATAAATTTAGACCCTTTAACCTGGTCTCAGAAGCAGCATGCTGTAATCCCAACTGACAGAGTCTTTAACTCCCACAGGCATTGAGACATCTGTGGCTTTTTGGCCCGTGAAGCTGAGAGAAAGTGGCCGTGTGCTGTTCTTTCACTTCCAGCTTTGGGACTGTGGGGAGAATGCCATGCGCAGATTCGACCACATGCTACCGGTGACAGTATTTTTCCAGGACAGACTTTCCCAAGTCTCATATTTGTTCTTTTATAAGTTCTGCATACTTCTGTGCCCTGAATTTTCATGGATTTTTTTACAGTCTTGCAAGGAGCAGGTGGATGCCATACTCTTCCTGTTCTCCTTCACTGACCATGGCTCTTTTGAGGACATCTCAAATCAGATGTCTCGGATCACAGACCCCTCTGACAGAGTTGTCAGGCTGGTGGTCGGCACAAAGTATCCTTCATTGAAAGCTGTTATGACTACCTGAGGTTCAAAGAAACTACTTTTGAAGAACTGGGCCCAGAAATGTTATGGTCTTAGTGATATTAAAATAATCTAATGTCAAAACAAACAGTAAAGTGCAGTATTGAAACCTGTAGAGTGTTAACTTGATGAAAGTTGCCATATGAATACTTCCAAGTAACAACAGAAAATAGTAGAATGTTTGATGAATACTTATACCTCTACAAGTTTGGGTTCAGTATTGGCCTTGACTCTTCAGATTTGACTTGTTTATGCACACAGATGTGACAGAGAGTGAGATCACACGGTTTCAGGAGGTGTGGGGTGTGCCAGTCTTCCGTGTGGGAGGTGATGTGAGCGGAGGGTTTGGTGAGATCGCGCCCCTACTAAATGCCTTGGCAGAAAACCTGTGGCACCAGGACTGCGTTCACGCTTCTTCAGTTTCCCCACTCCGAGACAGTCACCCAGAGGATACAAGCCGAGAGGTGATTGTGTAGCTGCTCGGTTGAACATCATAAGGATTGCCTGAATCACGATTTTTCAGTCACGGAATGCGTCAGTCATGTTTTCATACTTCATGTGAGATGCTGTGTCCACATCTGACTGGACCTGGAAAAATAACTTAACTTAAAACTATATTCATATCTTCACTCTAATCTTTCCACATGTAAGTTCTCAATATAGATGATTTATGCTTAATTTAGAATTGTCACTGCCAGACCAGTTTATCCAATGACTAAGCTTAATCAGTGTCCAAGATGTAGTAGGGGAGAGAGACCACAACCTAATGCATTGTAGTTTTTAAAACAGTTTGGTATTTAAATAACTTTTAAAAGGATTTGAGAAAAATTGATAGTTTGAGAAAGTTTTATTCAATCAGTCTACGCATCTCTGCTACAAATTAGAACTTTGTTTAAGGCACTATTGAGTTTTTATAAACTTGGCATTGTTCATGAAATATTTAGCCAAAAACAGACTGAGTGCAAATGTTGCCATGTACTCCATAGATGGGATTAACTGTGTTAGACTGAGTGGATAATCTCAACAGTCACTAAAAATTGATGCAAAACAGTTAATTCAGTACCATTTTAAATTTATTTTGACTACAAAACAGAAGAGCAAATTTCACAATAAAACTGAAATGTATAATATTTACATCATGTAAGTAGTATGCTTTTGATTAATATGTGTATAATTTTTTTTAATGAACTCTTTTGACTTCTCTTATTGTTTATTTGGGAAGGCTTAGTTGTAACACCGTGTTAAAACTAACCCTGCCATGTGGAGGCTGTACTTCAGCCTGCCTAGTTCTTACTTTTTATATGCCTCAAAGTGCTGCTGTGTTACAGGCACCAAAAGACAAATTAAAATAACAGATGTATAAATTATTTAATAGTTTGAAAAACAGAGATTCTGAAATAAGTGTCTTTTATGGAACAAAGTCTTCAAGTTGCTGTCAAAATTCACACCTGACGTTGCTATGTGAATAAAAAAACGACCACAAGCATGAACCTATTTAACTACAAAAGATATCTGTGTTACATTTTACTCTGTCGTAGGTTGTGCTCCACTCTTCCCTATGCTTAAACTACATATAATAGTTAACAGTAGATTCTTAAAATAATAACACTACAGCTACCTCAACTCACTGTGATGTCTAACATTATGAGAATTTTTTACTTTTTTTTTTATGAAAAAAAAAAAGGTTGGGTGTAAATGGTTTGCTTATTTTAAATCATTAGCATTAACAGAATAGTCAAACAACAGTCAGTGTTAAAAATTATATTATATATTATATAATTGTATATTATATTTATACAACAGTTAGTTCCAGCCATGCAAGCTGATTGAGAAGCGTTCTAACCGTGCTGATATTTCGCCATAACCTCATGGGTTTTTCTACAAACACTGTATCACTCCGCTGAGACGCCATTGCCAAGCAACGACTTTGACAGCTGTAGGAGATGCTCAAGCCATTTGAACGTTTTTACTTCTTACTTCGCGCACAAACAGAAAATGGACACTTTTAAGATCACATTTGACTGACAGCCGATTTGGTCAGACTCTGAAGATGAGACTACACTAAATTCTGAAACTGTCAGTTGGTCTGTGTGGAGCTAGAGAACGAACTGCTGGCTGTGCAGCGTGTGAGCGGAGCTCGTTACTGTAACATAGCAACAAGCTGCCCGTTAAGGAACTATAATTTGGCGTAAGGAACTGCTAACATTAAAACATATTAAATGCCACGTTCACGGCCCAGTTTATTTATTTCTTACTTTATTTAACTGTTGTATAAAAGCAATAGAGCACTCAAAGGTCGTGTGTTATCGCAAATAACTTCACGGCTGTGATGATCCACGGCACAAGCCGAAGGCGAGTCACAGCCGTGATGTTATTTCACGTATTTCTCTTGTGTTCTATTGCTTAAATATATTATATATTTTCTGAAATTTACTGAATCTTGTGAAAGAATACACACAAAACTCACAAAATAAGCATGTCAAAATGTTTACATGAATAAATACATTTAATTAGCACTGAAACAAAACAATACTGAGTTGAAAATAATGAAATCCAATTATTATCAAATTCATTGTTTTATATTAGGTATCTACATCTCACCATGAAAAGACAGAACATAACTTTCAGCAGGAGAGAAAAGGTTTGAAATGCCTTTTGACGAAAGTTTTGTCCCTCAGTACAAAAGACGAGTCACAAAGATGGATGGATCATTTAACTGTAGTAATAAAGAGAAATAAATTCAGTATCAGTTTCACAGAGGCTGTAGAGATCTGTGCATTAAGACTATATTCCTGTACTTTAACTACATGTTGTCTGACCTTTTGCCTTGTGTTTGAAAGCTGTAACTGTCAGTGCACCACCTTTTCCCAAGGACGATGTCACTGACGTGGGGTCCACATCTGCTGGAAACTGGCATTTGTGGGAAAAAATGTCTAAGATTGTGCCATCCGATGCCAACTGGATAGCAGTGAGAAATAATGAGGGGGAAAAACACATTACAATAAATACATGTAAAAATGTGAGTTGTGCAATACACGTCAGCAAATACAAGGTCAAGCAGCTTTCTATGAGCTAAAGATTCACAGTTTTCCTGAAAACATCCTTAACTACACTACAAAGCTTCATCAAGCGTTCCTGTTCAAACTCACTGGCTCTCCAAGTTATAGATACAGTACTTGGGATACTTTGCTTACCTTCTCAGCAGAAACTTGTATGAGGTTATTTGAAGAAGTGACAATCACTTGCTCTGGTGAGAAGGCACTAACATCCACTGTGAACATGTACATGTCTCCAAGAGTGCACATTTTCCCCTTTAGAAAAAAGATACGAACATAGTTCTGCTATTCAAGTGCAAATTAACAAATCTGTGGTTTATAATCAACTGATGTGCAAGTTGGATCCTTATAGCACACTGCTAAATATTCTCTGAACTTGATTCGCAGCTGCATTATTGTACTGTATGATGTGTTAAAAATTCACTGTGCAAGCAAAAACTGAAGCCAGTCTACAGCCACAGCATTATAAACTGTGAAAAGATTACCTGAACTCACCTTCGGATCATTACTTGACATGGTTGGAAAAGCAAATAGGAGTTTTTCTTATACACACAAAAAAGGCAAAAGATACTGTGGAATTTAGTCTAATACCTCAATGATAGCTTCATGAACATCCATCACTGAGTGCACTCAGCTCCCAGAAGTATTCCACTCTGGACACAGATGTTTCCTCACTCTGTTCGGTTCCACTGCCTCCGAGTGTCTTATATATTAGACTGTCTAGTGTCAGTTATGGTTGAATATGGGTGAGGTTAGTATGATGTCTATGTGTAATATTTATCATGGCGGATAGAAGATCAACTTGTACGACTAATAATATCCTATGTTCCTGGTCAGATGGCTTTGTGTTTACATTGAGAGATCACAACGACTGTCAAGAATGGGACACTGGATTTAGAACTTGAAGTAAAATTGACTCCCCATTACAAATATGGAGAAAAAATGGAGGACAGCTTAGCAACACAACAAAAATAGAGTTGTGTAATAGCTTGAGAACTGACGTGACATTCTAGGCCTTCTCACCACAAGTGTTAATTATTACATCCACTCTAATTAAGCAGTATACTAGGCTTGTGTCATAAACAGACATGAATGATTGATTATACATGGTGCATAATAAGCAGGGTTGGGCAGAATACTTTGAAGAAAGTGATGGCTGAATACTGAATATACTGTCCTAAATGTATTCAGTAATGTATTTCACTACAATACATAAAAAGTAACATATTCAGAATACATTCAGAATACATATTGATGAAGTACATGGGGAAAAACTCATATATTTTTTTTTATTTATTTCACGCTGTTCCTTGGTGTTACTGGTTGGCAGTTTTGTTTATGTAATTCTTCTGATGTTTCTTGAAAAGTTTGTTCATATTAATAAAACAATAAATACAAAATTCTCTACATTTTTTGGCTCTCATTGCTTGCTTAGGTCCACCACTGCTCCCATAATCTCCCTGCCCTCTCATGACCCAATTCTCCATATCCCAATAACAAAATATTGCAAATTGACTGTAAAATGATGAGCTATGTGATTTTCAGTTAATGATAGGTATGTAACCACTGAACGTATACACACAAGACCAGTACAACGCCAAAGCCAAGCTAATCACTCTAGAATATCTCCACTACTCACTTCAGTCATCCCTCAGAAGAGTTTACTAACGCTCAGATTAATAACTGGCTCACTGCAGTGATTTATCAGTCTACTCAGGCTTTAGCAGGAACTTAAGTGTTTGTAAAGTCTTTTTTGAATTTTTTAGAGTAAGACTTTACATCTTGTGTGCTGATTTTAATATAGTTACTTAACAAGCGTGTTTTTTTTAGTGGTTAAGTACTCTAAAGGTTTTATTAAAATGTTAAAAGTGACTGTGTTCTGCATACTGCCTTAACAAAATGTAACTCAGACTATATACAGATACTTAATTTCTGTATTCTGATGCATCCTAGTCCTGACAGTAAGTGGGTTAATTCAACTATTATAATCTGGCATGTCTTACATGATTTGATTTCCAGCAGGACTTTTATTCTTAAACTATGTTCTGTGATTCGCGGCCATTTTCTAGAAGGAGTGACTGCTGACTTCACCACAGCCTGGAAACACCTTCCGTTACCGAGTTCACGGACTCGTACGGGCGGGCTTTTCCTTACATGAGCGAAACGTACATCTGAGCACGCTTTCGTTCACAGAAAGTTATAAACGCACATACAGGCTTCAATATTACCTAAACCAACAGCGGTCTATTTGACTTTGTGCTGAGAGAAGCCTGCGCCTGGCCAGGCACAAAGCAAGGCCGCCAGAATGAAGCTCACGGACAATGTGCTGCGGAGTTTCAGGGTTGCGAAGGTTTTCCGAGAAAATTCCGATAAAATCAACTGTTTTGACTTCAGCTCGAATGGCGAGACGGTGATATCGAGCAGCGACGACGACTCGATTGTCTTATATGACTGCCAGGAGGGAAAGTGAGTGCACAGTGTTGTCTTGTTGTGCGGAAAGATGAATCTTAAGTCATATTCTTTTTGGCCAGCTTCTTGTTAGGATTTCACCGTTCCGCCTTAAATGATGCAGCAGTTACTGGCTCCAGAATGTAAGTGCTGCACCCTTAAGGTGGAACGGGGATATTCGAACAAGCTGGCGAATAGGAAGCCAACCTCTGCCTTTTTTATAAAGGCAGTAAGTTACTGGTGGGCGGATTTTCGCACTGAGGCCTACTGCTGCACAGAGCCTCGGACTCGAGTAGATTAGCAACCCCAAGCATCCTTGCTAACGATGAGCTAACTTTGTGGCTAACAGCCAAAGCGTGGGAAAACGGGCATTAAACAAATATCGACGGTCAAAAATGAGTGGACATCCCTTTACGAATGTCCACAGTGAAACGCCCCATTTGGTCGGTCTTAATGTTTTTTATGTAGATATCTAAAGTGTTAGCTCACAAATGCTAACGTTTTGTAAATATAAGGCTAGCGAATGTCCACATCCGCTCTAGGGATGTTGGCCACCAGAGTGTCTTACCTGTTTGTTTTTTAATATGAGTTAATGCTATTTTTATATTACATGTATTCATCTGTGATAAATATATATATTCTGCACAGTTATTGGACAAATTTATAGCCTAATAATGTAACCTAAATATTAGCTTAATAAAGAAGATCTAGCTGGGTAACTAACGTTAGTTAGTGGACTTTCTACAGGGTTTCTGTAACAATTGTTACAAATATTGTTATATATGGTACATTTACTGTAGTATATTTAGGGTAAATATTAGCACAAGTGCTCTTATCAGAAGTGTCATAGATTACTTTAACCAGCATCTACAGGAACAGTCTGGCATTTTATGAAGTTTATGCCTATATAGATTCTTTGACCAAATCAGGTACAGATTTGTGTTGTTTCACTGAACAGTAATGAGTCATTTTCTTCTTCATTTTGTCATACAGACCCAAACGGACACTGTACAGTAAAAAGTATGGAGTTGACCTCATCAGATATACACATGCTGCCAATACAGTCGTCTACAGTTCCAACAAAATTGATGGTATGTGCTTTTTTCAAAGTCTTTTCTGTATCTTTCTTTTTTCCAGGAGGAGTGTATATTGTATCTTGTTCCCCACACAGTGACCTGTTTCTCACAGTAAAAAAATCCTGTTTGGTAGTTATGTAGTTCATGTATAGTCATGCTGTGCTGTACAGATGTATTCATGCTTATAGGTCTCTTTGTACATGTAATACTAAGTGTAGTAAGTTGTAACGAAGAGGTATTTGACGACCCTTCTGCTCACCGATGTACCCAGTGTGTGTTTGGGACTGCGTGGCTGTGCCCACTCTGGCTTGAGGTAGTTGTTTGTACAGTTTGAGGGTCTGTGATTCTGCCCTTTCAAGGAGCTAACTGTACAGACTACTGCCTTGCCCAGGGTGGCGCCAACTCTTCTAAAACTACCTGGAGATCTGCACCAATGGGACCTTGTTGTTAGAGGTTCACATTTAGGCTTTGAGTTCCACAACTAAAGAATACAATACTACTTGGCATCATCTGATTTCTTTCACAGGACAAAGTCAATAAAAATGTATAATTCTGTTCACAGCAGTTCTGGAAATGTTTTATGGACTTTGTGTAAATGACTGATGTTTGTAATGTCTGAGTTTCTCCTCTCTATTACTGTGTTACTACAGACACTATACGGTACCTGTCGCTACATGACAATAAGTACATTCGTTACTTTCCTGGGCACAATAAGAGGTAAGGATCATCATTATTATTGTTAAGTGCTTTAGACACATTGATCTATTAGCCAAAAATTTAACTTGTGATGTTGAAACAGGTTATAAACAAACTTGAGAGAAAGTTGTTGAATGTTATTTTTATAGTACACTAGCAACATTTGGACTTTTGGCACTTTGGAGTTTTATGAATGGGTTAAAAACTAGATTTATGTGCGTTACGTGTGTAATTTTGTTGTAATTTTACAGGGTTGTTGCACTTTCCATGTCTCCTGTTGATGATACCTTCATCTCTGGCTCCTTGGATAAAACGATTCGGCTATGGGATCTTCGCTCTCCCAACTGTCAGGTAAGCCTTGTGTGAAATCCCCTTAAAAGACTGTTGCTTGTTGTGTCTACTCTTTTGATTATCCCTCATATCTGTTTGATCACAATCCTTTATGTGGTCACAGGGACTGATGCATCTGCAGGGGAAGCCAGTGTGCTCATTTGATCCTGAGGGCCTGATATTTGCTGCAGGAGTCAACTCTGAGATGGTCAAACTTTATGACCTGCGATCTTTCGACAAAGTAAGAGAGATTAATTTGCCAAATGCTGTTATCTTATGTTGAAGAGATGGACATGGTTAAAATAAAATCAGCCTGAAAAAAGTCTGCACTGAAGCAAACTTTTATAGCCAATTTACAAATAAAATATGCTTAAAATGTTTTAAAAACTATTAAATGTGGTGAATTTGAAATAAAGTGCTGGAGGTTGAGGAATTTAGGAGGAATATTTAAACAAGCCTGTGAGAGAACAGACTGGTCCTCCTGTTTGTCAGTTGTGTGCAGTTCCATTTGCCTTGGTTAAAAACATTGTGTCTACTGCAAACAAAAGAACATGTTCTAATTTTCTGCTGTAGGGTCCCTTTGCTACATTTAAACTACAGTATGAGCGAACATGTGAGTGGACCGGCCTCAAGTTCAGCAATGATGGCAAACTTATCCTGGTCTCCAGCAATGGAGGAACACTTCGACTGCTTGATGCTTTCAAAGGAGCTGTACTACATTCGTTTGGGGTGAGTAGGGTTCCCCCTCTAAACCGCTTTGTTATGTATCAGGGTTGCTTGGAAGTGTGAATTCTGACATACCCTTCCGCTAAATAAGAATAACTTTGAAGCACATTGTGCTTGCCGCAGAGGTTTGGTATTTTTGTTCTTGATAATTAATAGTAAGTAATATTGTTACCTGTTAAGCTGCGTTGTAGAACATTTTAAAGCAGCGAACACCCGTCTTATACACAGAGGGCTGCTGTGTCTGCAGGTTTTCATTCCAGTCAAGCAGACACATGCCTCATATAACTTAATCATTTCTAAGAAGGCTGAGACCAACTGATTAAACAAGTGGAATCAGATGTGCTTCTGCTTGCTTGTAATGAAAACCTGAAGCCACACTGACCCATTGTGGATGAGATTAATGATCCCTTTTTGTGATGTTATGAAAGGAGCTGGAGTTGCTGTAGTTTTACTATATAAGGAAATGATTTAGATCAAAGGTCATCATCTTCAGTCCTGGAGGGAAGTTTAGTCATTTTCTTGCTCAGACACACCTGATTTTATTCAGCAGTTAATAAAAAGGTTTAGTGGGTGTGTTTATTGGCGAGATATTCAACCTGGAATTAATGACCCCTGATTTAGTTAGATAATATCTACATCTTTGTTTTCTCTTGGTCAAGTTCTCTTTTGTTATTCTGCTCTGTAGGGCTACAACAACAGTAAAGGTGTGATTCTGGAAGCTTCCTTCACCCCAGACTCTCAGTTTGTAATGATTGGTGAGTAGAAGTTAAGACCATCTTTAGTTGTTACCTGTTTTAGGAAAGTGACTCTTCCTTTAATGATGAAGAACGTTGATTGTGTTGTGTACTGTAAGGATGTGTATGTCATTGTTCTCCAGGTTCAGAGGATGGGAAGATCCATGTATGGAATGCCGAGAGTGGAATGAAGGTGGCGCTCTTGGATGGGAAACATACAGGGCCTGTCACCTGCCTACAGTTTAATCCCAAATTCATGACATTTGCTAGTGCCTGTTCGAACATGGTGAGATGATATTTTGTCACATCAAATTACATTTGACTGTGGGGTCTTTTAACTCCTCTTTACTTTTGGGCTGGCACGCCTTTTGCGGTCAGTGGCATCAGTGTTCTGCTCAAGAGTCAATTGATGAACTGTGCTGGAGTCTTCCATGCTGTGTCAGCCTTTATTGTCTTTTCAAGATGAGTGACTTTGCTTTGACCGTAGACTGTTCTTGTGATGTTTTTTTTTTTCATTTATCTTTATATACATAGATATCCAGACAGCACATGCCCTGTTATCATATGTCACTGAAAATGCGCAGTTGTGCACAGTACAAAAACATTGGTGGCAGAAATGTGTGGATTGCAGCCAAAAGAGACTGTATGAGGTGTAGCAGCCTGATATATTTTAGAACACCTTGCTCAAATCAGAGGTCACAATATGGTTATGGAACAAGTGTATTTAGTAAAACTGTTTGAGAGTTTTGATGACTTGTTTATTTACTTACTAACACACCTAATTTCTTACTTGCACAGGCATTCTGGTTACCCACAATCGATGACTGAAGAAGAGCTGAGCTCTACGCTACACGTTCGATATGACAAATTGCTCCATGTCAACAGAGGGCAGCCTTAGCACTGCCTCTACTTTATTGGAACTGTTGTGGGACTTGTGGACTGTAAATAGGTTGACCATGAGGTCAAGTTGTATTTCTTTCATGTTCATTTTATACTTATCATTAAACAATGTTCTTTTGTAAATCAGTGTAATCTGTTTGTGATGTTTGTTTATTTGAGGTTTGTGGTTGCCCTCAAAAATACAGTTTCAGCTGTCAAAAACATCTTGGTTTGGATTTTAGCATCTTTCAGAATACAAAGAATATGTTACTAATGCAGCTTAAAGAACTGTCTGTGAGACATATTTAAATAAATATGTATATTGCTTCTCTTGTGTAAATGCTAAAAAACCTGTTTTTGGAAAGCTTGTTTTATTCCCCAAACCTTAAAGCGAGCTTGTGCAACTGCTGAGACATAATTCTGCCTCAATAAATGAATGGTTAATGGTAGATTGTGTTGCGGTTTCTGTACTACTGCATCATTGATCTAATGGGAATGGCAGCGTACTGTTACTGCCTTTGCCTTCAATCCTGATGTCATAAACAAGAACATTTTCCAAAAATAAGCGTTTTAAGGAAATTTAAAGATACACAGTGCAGTAAATAGCATAGTGAGAGATTTTTACATCTTAGATTGGAAACAGATTTAGTTGAGAGATGTTCAGTCCAGCAGCCAAATATTCCAAATTTATACAATTTCTGCCAACGGAAGTAATATTTCATTTTCAATAGTTTGTGGAAAGCTGTAATTGACAAGGTCACTTATTCCGCCCTGGGTGTGGCCTGTCAGGATGTTTGATTGGACCTGCCAAAAAATTGCCTTAACCTTATCCCCTCAAACAATGAAAAAAAAAAATATATATATGTATATATATACTTTATTTGTATATTGGTTTGTCTTTTTGTGTTTTGTCACTACAAACATTGCACTTTGGCCCCCCAAAAACGAGAAGTTTGAGCATCCTTGTTCTAACCAGTCTATAACATACATACTGTAGCTTACCATGACATGGGTTTGTAGGTGCTGAAGTGTATCAGAGGAAGAGAGCCGACTGCACCGGTGAAATCTTCAAACCTTTCCTCCCGCATGCGGCACTGGCATCAATTACTCCCATGTAATCAGAGCAGCATGATGTCACACCCATTTAAGGGAACTACAGTGGCAGCTCATTTACTTCAAAATACAGTGCCTTGCTTTGTTTTAAGAATTTGCAGTGTCTTTCATTACTTATTTAGTGTCCTCAGTTACACTAGCAGCTACACTGTAGCCCACTCTGTGACAATTTTTAATCAATACTCGAGTGAGGCAATTTGTTTAGCCTTTATATATTTGCTAGGGGTTATTTTAGTCTAAATTCTAAATAACTTAACAATAGAAATATAGGTCTGATTTTCTATCTGTTTCACTCTGTGAAGCTCTAAAACATGAATAATAATCCTATAACAGTATTTTAAAGACATATTCTGAAAGTCTGGGTTTTCTAGCTGAAGGCCTGAGCACATCAATGTAATGTTCCCCAACAAACACCAATGTTCTAATTCATACTTTTCCAGAATAAGCAACAGCAATGAATTAGTATGATACCAAAGAAGACCTGCTTTTGTGAGTGTAAAGAACCTTGTAAAGGTTCCATACCAATTTAAGGGGTCTTCTTAGATCCTTTATATTATGTGGATGTTCTTTAAACTTCAAACAGGTTCTTTACATCTCATTTACATAATTTGGAAAGTGGTCCATCTAAGAACCATTTTTGGCACCTTTATTTCTAAAAGTGTAGAATAATGTGAATGAGAGAGAACCATTAAAAAGCGCCAAACATTCACACACAGGTGTGGTACACCAGCCCGTACCTGTTGGTGTTTGTTGGAGAACAACAATATTGGGCCGATATTCTATGGGCTTTCAGCAGTGTAATCTCATTTGCATTCCAGTGTAATCTTAGGATGTGCTGAGTTTGCCCAGCCAAGGCCTCAGACTCAGAGATGAAGCTTTAGCGGATCCCAGGTGAGCATTCTGCACGGCTCCTTCACGTCTCTGATGGCTGGTTGTGTGAAAGGCTGTGGTGGTGAGGGGGAGGGGAAGCTGTTACCCAAGGCCAGGCACACCGAGCCTGTGGCTGCTAAATTTGGGGCAAGCGGGATCAGGTTCCTTCTGCTCACACAATCCTGCCCTAGTTACAGGACCCCTCTCTCTCTCACACACACATACATAGGTCTCACATGCTGTCTTGACTTAAGAGGTGCAAACACCCAAGCTCTCTTGCCTCATACTGTCGCCGGTAGTCTGTATCCTGCCTTTGGAGGGCCTTGAGCTTCTTACCTGCGTTTTAGACGTCACTAGTGCAGTGAAGATCCTCCAGGTGACCCCCACCTGCCTCTAAATTAGGCTTCAGGTTTTCTCCCCCAGACTGAGCGCTCCTGGGCGGGTAGACGGGCTGACCCGCCATGTTTCTGGTTCTGGTGGTGACAGATGAGCTGAGGCAGTTCCTGGTGAAGGCAAGGAGCGGGACAGGCCGCCTCATCCAGGTGTTGATCCGGGACGGTGAGTGAGCCACATAAACAGAGACAGAGAGACAGTTACCCCACTGACTGTTCTGGTTTGAAACTACATGTTGGTAAAAACATATTTTAGAATGTATATTGTTCTGTTTGTATTGCTAGTTATATTTTAACTATTTTAAACTGCAAGGGTCTGTATGTGGGCCCTCACTGCAATTCCTCACTCTCATTACTGCATCATGTTGTTCTGTAACTCGTTACAGAACGATTAATCGTTACAGAACGATTCACAATAGTTAAGAAGTCTAAAGATTAATAACTGAATAATAAGTCTGCAGTTTAAAGGGTTTAACCAAGGTGGTCTCACTGAAATGAAAAATCTCTTTTCCAAGGAAGGCAGCACACACACTTTCACATTTAGAACAAATAAAAAATCAAATTTACAGACAGAAGACATTAGAATAATGTACAGTAAAAAGGTAGGCCATGAGAGTTAAAGGATGAAACAGAGAGATTGTGGTGTAGAGCTGCAGAGCTCGGGATCTGTAGCACTGAATGACCGACCACCCTTTGACGAAGATCTTGTGCCAGAGGATCTAATGGTGTGAGGGGGGCTGTAGGGTTGAAGGAGTTCAGTAAGGTATGCAGGGGCGACACCATGAAGGGCTTTAAATGTTAGAAGAAGACGTTTCTACTTGATACAGGAGTGTACTGGTAACTAATGAAGGTGATACACAATATGTGTGTTCATTTCTTAGTAGATGTGAGAAGCCTGGCTATTCAGTCTTATACTTAATATGCAAGCATCCCCTGACGTTAACTCCAGCTTTCCTTTCTGCAACTGTACATTTCTTACAGTTTCAAGTGAGCCAAGTGAGATTGTGAGAGTCAGAAGGTAGAGACATGGTGGTGTGCTGGAATGGAAGGGAGCCTTAGGCCAGTATAATTTACTTCACATTAGAATAAGAATCTATTCCTTCAGAGAAGGCCCAGATCACTGAGGGAACAGAGTGAAGGCCTTGAGCAGTTAATCTAACTGATGCTACACTTAGCAAATATAACTGCTTCTTTTGTGTCAACTCAACAATATTTGTACCATCATATCTTTTCTGTGTGAGGCTGTGGTGATATAAGCCAAAGGTGTCCTTTGGTTACAGCTTTTGAGTAAGCGCGACGCAGCACAACCACACATGCACTGTTCTATAGAAGTTCTATACCAGCGAATGAACACTGGGCCTGAATGAACAAGTCTAACTTGCATAGGTATAACTTGTATATAGTTCTACTTATAATTCACTATAATTCAACTGGGCTAAATCGAAAATGAACCACTTTAGTAACATCTGATTTGTCAAGAGCTTGGACTTTTTTCAAAATGTTACTGACTCTAATTTCATATGTACATGTAGGCCTACAGGTATGAAATCGATGAGTAATATTCTGTCTTTCTGTTTTCTGCAGTGGAATGTTTGTGTTTCATGTGTTGTCTGGCTTGTGTTTATTTAAGATGAAGAAATACAGGTGAAGGGGCAAAATATATTTCACAATGTATTTTTGTTGGGAAAGGCCAGGGTGAACATGAGTCAGGTGACACATCAGTTGACACTGAAGCTGACTGGTGTGTGAGGGAATTACTCTACACAAGAGTGTCTGTAGCATGACAGATTTACTGATCTCTGTTGCAATGTGAGTGACTGTGTGTGTGTGTGTGTGTGTGAGTGTCCAATATCCACTGAAATGTTAAACTACTATCAGATGACATGACTCACTTGCTAAGACAGGACAGGACAGAAAAGACAATTACATTTGAGTGAGGTCATCCCACCTGAGTCATTTCTGTTTATATGTATGAATGTTTTGTGTAGTTATGTGCAACGATTCATATGCCTTATTATAACAGTGTGCCTGA